ACGAATGCCTGAACTTGGAGACCTCCCCCCACCTACCCCCAGGCATTAGCGGCTGGCGACCATGCACCACCAGGAAGAGCAGGATCATGGCCCCTAACACCTCTATCAGGCACCTGCAGGGCTGGGGTGGAAGAGAAAGGAGGAATGGCCCACCATCGCCCTTAGAAGACCCAAGGCACACTCAGGAGCCACCCCTACTCTCCCCTAGACTCCCGATAAAGCAGCACTGAGGACCCACGGAGCAGTACACATCCGGAAGAATCTTTTCTTCTCATCTCCTCCCACCCCCGCCCCACCCCCACCATCCTAAAATAGGAGCGTCTCTCCCCCCCACCCCCCCTCCTTTGACACCGGGAGCCAAACCCTGCTGTGCGTGACTCAGTCTGAGCTTGGAGAGGCCCCAGGAAGGGTTGTGTGGTTAGCTTTGGGCTTCCGTGAAATCTACACAACTCTGTTGAAGGTCACGCCCCCCCCCCAACCTCAGCCGTTTCCCCAGATGGGGTGAGAGGGGTGGGGGGTGGCTGCTGCGACCAAAACAAAACTGGGCAGCGGTTCTGGGATTTGCTACTCGGTTCGGTGGAGTCAGCTGGGATTTAAACGGGGTTAAGCGTGGCCAGCATGCAGTTTCATTCCCTGGAGAACATGGCGCCTTCTGTTGATAGATGAGGAGGCCAAGGTTGGAGAGGTTTACCTACCCACCAAGGACATCCTGTGGGTAGGGGTGGGTGACAAAAAGACCCTGCGGGTAAAACTAAAGTACGTAGGGAATCCCTGGTACCTGCTCACCACGAAGTGAGAATACATCATGGTCGTCATTCTCCCCTCCCTCCCGCCACACACACACCTGTCCTTGGCCACCAACAGGATAACTGCCCAATCGGGGCAGGTGACCTAATAAGAGACTCTCTGGGCAAACCTAGAGGGGTTTTAAAGATGGTCTCCATTCGTGTCAAGCTGGGAGGTGTCCTTTGATTTCTGGGGGTTGGCATGGTGTGGGGAAGGTGCTTCCCATTTTGTGAGAGCATGCTAACTGGCCTTCACCAAGGGCTGTCATGTGGGCCGGGGCAGTGGAAAGCCACCTTGTGCTGCCTCCTCCCCTCCTGCTCCGGGCTTTCAACCTGCTATTGTTCTACCGGGCTAAAAACTCAGCCCTTAAACCTCCTTCCTCCTCCCAGAGAAGTGTCCCTGTGGCAGGAACTGGCAATGAGGAAGTGCTGCCCCAGGGGGTCCCCCTCGAATGTCTTTTATGCAGAAGGTAGCACCCACACCCACCGCCTTCCACTGTTCCAGCAGAGCTCCATGGGCTTTCCAAAACTGTCCATCGGTGGGAGTGGTCTGTCTCCTCCTCCCCCATGGGGCAGCTGGTGGGTTAGTAGCGGGCCCTTAATGTTTCCCTCTTCAAGTATGGCACCACTGGGGCAATCCTTTTAAACCTCTCTCTCCCTGACACATCCCCTCCTCCCTGCGCCAGGCAGCTCCCCACAGTTTGTTTGTGATTTGCCAACCAGGACTAAGGCAGCCCCTACAATCCACAGTCTGCTCGCCAGAAGCCAGACACATCTCATTCACCCCCATCCCCTTGCCCCTTTCTCTCCACTACCAGCAAAAAAGGGTTAAAACCCGGAGCCGAGGTGCAGCTTTGTAGCTCACACTGGAAACCGGTTGGTACTTGTAAAGTGCTTTTTCATGAGTGACTTCACACATCTTGGCACTTCTCGAAGCATAGCCTGCTGGGGGGCGCTGCATTGAGAAATAAGGCCAGCCAACGCTCAACGCTCTTGTGTATGGGAGCAAATCGTTTGGAGGGCTCTGTCGTTCTGTCATCCAATCCGATCATGGGACCCTCTCTGCTGTGGGCAGCTTGGGGCGGGGGCAAACGCTACTCTGTAGCCCTTGATGGCCTTAGAGAGAATGAGACCTCTCTGTATCACCTCGCAAGGGGGTGGGCTGAGTAGTGCCTCTTCCTTTGTTTCTCTCTCCAGTGTCCCATTTTGTTCTGCATCCCAGAGAAAGGGGAGAGGAGTCCCTGTTCTTCCAGGACAGCTTTGCTGGGGGTGGGAGGATGGGTCTGCTCTTGACCGTCACCTGGAGAAGGGTCCTCCTGCCCAGGCAGGCCATTTCTCATTGACCTTTTCCACTGAGCTCCATCTTGGACCAGGAACCTGAAGAGTTAAGTCTTCAGCTCGTTGCAATGAAATTATGGTTGGCAGTGGCGCCGCTGTTTGTTCAACAGACCTCCACTTTTAAACAGTTCACAAGAAGTTCATGGGGCAGCTAAAGATTATAAATGTGTGTGTTGGTGTATAGCCCTCAGCGGGGTCCAACAATGGACCCCTGCCCCTTTGGCTGCTTGATGTGCAATGCTGCTACCCACCCCCACGCTCGCACACCCTGCTGACGCCGAAAGGCACTCTGGGCTTCAACACTCCATCTGACCCTGTGCATGTGAGAACACTTCATTCTGACTGCTTGCTGTCATTTTTCTGCACAGCATTAATATTGAAAACCTCTCAGGATGAGCCCTGGAGAAGGGGAGACACTCAGAAACACCCCAATCCCAGGTGGCTGTGAGTGGCATTCACCTCAGTCCCAGCTATCTTTGTGGAAGCAGAGTCTTTTTGAGGGAAGAGACGGGGAGGAGGGAAGGCACTGGTCTGTTTTTGGCGGGGCCAGGTGCTTGTTGGTTCAGTGGAAACCTCCTTCGAATGACCCAGGTGGCACCTTTTGTTTTCCTCAGGAAGGAGCCGGAGGTCCTTCTTATTTAGCAAGGTAGCCACTCTAGGAGGTGGCTTGTGTACAAGGTGGCCAATCTTGTTAAGCCTTGGAAATCAGAAGATTGAGATCCCCTTTCTTTGGGGTTTGATCGAGTGACCCTTTTGCTCCTAATGTAATTTCAGCTTTTCATCACAGCAAGGGAATGGGGTGGTGCGGCTCCACTGCTGCAGCCAATGACAGAGGCACGAAAGGTGGCCCCTGCCCATACTAGCCTTCACACACTCTCTCAGACAGTCTTGTTAGAATGGTCCACAGGGCTTGGGGATGGAGGGAAGGCACTAGAGGTGCTGCGCCCCTTCCCCCACTTCCTCAACATCATGTCAGTCTTGGTTGGGGGCCAGGCAGGGGAGGGGTGTTGCATTAGTTGCTTACAAATTGGCCAGCTAACCGCCAGGTCAGCAGTTCAAGACCACCAGCTACTCTGAGGGAGAAAAATGAGGCTGTCAGATCTTATAAAGAGTTACAGTCTTGGGGAAACCCACAGGGGCAGTTCTACTCTGTTCTATATAGGGTCACTCTGAGTCAGAATCAACTCAATGGCAGTGAATTTGAGTTTTTTCTTTAGTATGGTTTAAGGGTGTGCTCAAAGACCCTTTATAGGATAACTGCTTCTGGGGAGCCCCACCCCACCAGCGGTGCACCTGCACATTCAGGCTTCTTTTGTTGGACAAACGAGCTTGCCAGGCAAAAGAAATGCAGCAGGTTGACTTGGCTCTTTAATTCTACCTTCCCACCACTGGTTACTGTCACAAGAGTCCCCAGACCTCAGGGGCCTCCAGCAGACCTGGCAGGCTGTTCCTGCCCCGGGTGGTAAAGTGTAAAAGCAAGCATTTGCATATGTCTTTTTTTCCTGCTAACAAAGGAAATGTGTGGACTTCAGGAGCATTCAAGGTTTTAAAAACTCTGGGTGAGGGAGGAGGAAGACAAGTTCCCCTGAAGAAGTGCACACCAACATTTCCACGCCGAGCCTCTGGGTCCCCCTCATCAAAGCCGGGGGGCTGGGGCCAGAGCAGGGGGCCTGGCTGTGATGTGTTTTGTGCGCAGGGAATTGCGGAGGGCCATCGGTCCCAGGCTTGAAAGGCTCCCCTACTTATTAACCCAGCATTTAACAGCAGGATATGGGCTGAAGCGCAGTCAAAAGAAACGGCTCAACCTCCAAAGAGCAATTAAAATCCTGCACGAGGATAAATCACGCGCCGTGATAATCCTGTTAATAAAATGCAGCTTGTCCTGACCCTTCACTCATGCAGCAAACTAGAATGTGATGGGGGTGGGGGTGGGGGTGCAAAGAAGGTAAGGCAAGGGAGAGAGGTGGTCTCAGCTTCTCCGCCCCAGCCACCTTGCCCCCTCCCTCCCAGGAGGCGGAAATGGGTGGCTTTGGGTTGTTCTCCGATGCCAGCGGCTAGGAGCACATCAGCCTGGGCTGCTAAGACTTGTGCGAGCTAATGATTTCTTGTCCCCAGTGAGCGGGTGTCATTGAATTACTCAGCCGCCTCCCTCTGCAGCTCCCAGGCAAAACCACCCGGGCAAGGTGCTTAATCTAATCTAGGGCTCGGGTGGGGTGGCTCACCAGCCCACCGACTCTTTTTTAACCCTCACTCAGGAAATTGCACTGCAGGCAGCCCCAGCACTGAAAGCACCGTGGGGTTGGCCCCAGACATGCCACTCCTACCCGTAGTTGGGGCTCGTCCAACCAGCCCCCTCATCCTTTCAGCCCCAAGAAGGATTTCCTGTGGGAATCCATGGGATTTGGCGCCACATACTTTCAACCCTTCTAAAAGGGACAGGAAGGGGAAGGTGCGCTCCGACTGTTGCATGCACCTTGATTTTAATCTTTCCCCAGCCCTGGAGGCCTTCCGTCTCTGCCAAGGACCATTGCCCCTCACCTGTACGCTTGGGACCAGGTGTGCCCCCCTCCCTTCTCCGCCTCTGTAGAACATTCACCACAGTATGGCACCTGAGGCTGCATCAATAAGAATTGTCTAGGAAGAGGACCTTGCTCTTGCCCAGAGTGAGCCCAAGTGGCACAGTGCTTAAGTGCTCAGCGGCCAACCTGGCAGCCCACTTCAGTAAAGCCCTGCCGCCTTGGGGGGTGGGGCACAAAGTTGGACTCTGTCTTATAGGGTCGCTGCGTGTCAGAATCAACTTGGTGGCAACAGGTTTTGGGTTTTTGTGTGTGTGTTTTGGGTTACTCAACCTCCTGGCTTTTTTTTTTTTTTAAACAGACTAGACGTTTGAAGAAAAAGCTGCTGTCCGAGAAGACGACATGCTTTCTGCAACCCCCCTGTATGGGAACGTTCACAGCTGGATGAACAGCGAGAGAGTCCGCATGTGTGGGCTCAACGAAGACAGGTGACTGTCCCTGTCTGGTGGAGGCCATACTGCCAGGCCCCTCTCTCTGCCCCTGAGAGTCGAACTGCTGCTGGGCTCCCAGCAGCCCCTTCTCCCAGCCAGAGCGGGTCTAAAAGGGGTGGGCGAGACTGGTCCTCCCGCCTAACCGGCGGCCCGTGATTTACAGTTTTAACAGGCAACCCGGCTCAGCGAAGCATTGCCGCCCTTTAAAAGATTAGCCCCTAAAGCGGCCTTTCAATGCACTTTCGTCCTTAATTTATTATTTCATATTTATGAAGGAGAATTAATCCTAGCCTATATGCTGCTTTAACTCTAAATGTCAGGAGCATGGGCCCAGGTGGATCGGCATTCGATGTGCTTTTAAAACAAATAGTTTGCTCAGTAATAAACGGGGAGGCAGCCACCCTGTGCCGCATCTGAGTGCCCAGGGTTTCGTGTTGTCTTCTGGATTTGAGGGGCACACTCCCCACCCCCCACCCAACAGTTCCACATGGCTTCCCAATTGGCCATTTGAAGGGTGGGGTAGAGGCACTTAAGCAGTAAGGTGATTGAAGCGGCTCTTCTGGGTAATGATGAAACTTTCCTGTGCCGCACGCATGTCAGTGCGTTTTATCTTTGGGATTTGGTAGTTGGCAGTGAGCGTTTTCTTTATCGATGCTCTCTCCGATAACAAGTCCCAGGGCAGCCGCACCAGCCTGGCACAGATGTGTAGCCTCCTTTTCAGCTTGGCACAGCTGACATTCATGTGCTAGTCGTGTGTGGCATGGTGC